GCAGCGCCCTCCGCACCCCCCTTCCCGCGCCCCTGGTCTCACGTGTTGGGCGCGCTCTCTTCTGACCATATTTGGAAGTACAACTTCCTACAACTTCCGACAGGTTCAACCTCCACCGGCAGCGGCTGCAGCTGGACCCTTCACGGCTAGGAAGGATTCTTGCCTCGTTTCTGAAGCAAGTGACTAGGAAGACATATGCTACCAAGCAAGCGTCCTCGACATTGAGACACACCCCCTGTCTCGCAGACACAGCGCGGGAGCGGTTTGTTCAACACTTCCAGAGCAGCAGGGTGCGGCGAGTCTGACTCAGGTGACGTGCTGATATGTTGAGGGGGCTTGAGCTCGACGTTTTGGCAGGAAGGAATTATTTTATTTGACCATTTTTTTAATGTCTGTTTTTCGTCTTTATCTACAGGGGGTTATACATATTGTCTGAGAGCACACTGCATCTTCAAAGGTTTGTTACGCTATCACTACACATGGCTACAAGTATGCCAGTTATTGATGAGTACAATTATTAATGTGTTGATGTATTTATCATGCTGGAAAAGGTAGAACTAATTGTATTAACTGAAGTGACTTCATCTACAAAAAGCAGTAAATCTGTTCTGAAGAATTGTGTTGAAACAAGTTGTTTCAACACAATTCTTCAGAACAGATTTACTGCCTTTTGTTTCAAACAACATTTGGAGAAGTTGTTGATTAAATGTTTCCGCTTTCCGCTTATCTTGCACTTACTCGGTAAACCACCATGTGTAGAAAAGAAAACACAATTGTAACATAAAGACATTTGTTTTTACCAAGTCTTCCCCATGGCGTCCTGTGGCTACTCCCATGTTACTTTTGTGAGTACCTGTGATGATGCCTTCTACTTTCAAGGTAAATGTGATTTTATTATTTCTCAGTAGGTACTTGCTACTTTTATATGGTTTAAAATATTTGGTTATATTCATAATAATTTTTGATATAATCGCTATCGTTTTTTATGTTTCTAAATAAATCCTGAAATCTAATATTTTTCTGTTCCCCTTTTCTATTTCTACCAAAAACATGACAGAAACACCAGGTGAGAAAATTCTTGTGCAGTTTTTTTTTTTTAATACACAGTCCACATTGCATTCCTTTTCAACTGTATGATGTTGCTGCTGTTATAACATGTTTTTCTCTCAAAGAGATGGGTGAAGATTTGGCTGAAGATGGTTTCACAATGTCACCGCTGGCTCCCAAAATACGCTGGGTTCATAGCAAGTCCAGCCATTTCCTGCTCATTCGAAATGAAAATCATGAAAGTCAGTTTGAAGTGAAACAGTTAAACGTGGCTGAGCTACTGAAGCTTGGTAAGATGCAACCAACACACCAACATATTGTACTTTTATCCAACCTTTATAAACAGGGATCCATTTTCATTTACAACTGCAAAAATATCAACCTAGCATCTATATGGACACTTATAGCATTTAGAAACAAGTATCTGGAAATATAAGTAAAAATGAACTTTCTTCCAAAACGCTTCATGGTGGCAAGGCAAGGCAAGTTTATTTATATAGCACCTTTCAGCACACGGCAATTCAAAGTGCTTTAAAAATTTAAATAAAATACATCTAAGAATAAACACATTATAAAATGGCAGGCATTAAAAAGCAAAGATAATAAAATAAACACAACAGGTATAGAATACATGAATAAAAACCCTGCTGCAGTGTGGATATAAACAGCTCACTCAAATGCAGCGACACAAATATATACGTTTTTAGTCTGGATTTAAAAGTATTAAGAGTTGCAGCGGACCTGCAGGATTCAGGGAGTTTGTTCCAGATAGTCTGGGCATAAAAGCTAAACGCTGCTTCTCCATGTTTAGTTCTTACTCTTGGAACAGAGAGTGAATATTTGTTGGCTCCTACTGGCTAACAGGACTCATGGAAATACCCTGAATACTATGAGGATATACTGCTAACCAGGACTAGCTGTGAAGAGCTGAACCCTCCTCGAATTAGATATGAGTAACATTCCTGCGGTCAGCCATAAAAGACGACAAATGTATGCCAGATGTCTTACATTAGTTCAAACACCCTAATATTAAACGCAATGTGTGCAGAAGAAGCTTTATTCACACAAGAATGAATGCATAAAACACAATATGTTTCCAGTCTACATTTATATTTATATTGTGTGAGTGGTGCAGGAATGAGTCCTAAAACCTGGAAATGAGTTAGCATTTGACCACTTTAAGAACAGCGGTTGCTAACAGGTGACTAAATGAGATCGTCTTTGACCTCAAGTGATGCGACTGTGATGTAGTTCGAATCATAGGGTTAGCTTTTTACTTCTGCCGATTGCTATTATGCTGTGAAAAATCACAAAGTAGTGTTAATATGTGGGATTATCCTGCTGAACAAAATGTGTAAGTATCATAAATGCGCGTTAGCCACAGATCCTTTTTCCTGCAACATGCCTTTTTGTCTAGGGAGCCCTTGTGTTGCTATCTTCAGGGTCTGTTTTATTCCACGACACAGTATTTACTTGACTCAATATATAGTATATTGTACTTGTTGAGATTAAAGGCAGTCACGGATGTGTTCGGGGAGTGAGTTCCAGAGAGACCATAGTTGAAAGAGTGGAGCAGAGAAGGAGAGTGATGGCTGGAGACGGGATATATTTTTGAGACGGAAGAAGGCAGTTTTGGTGATGTGCTTAATATGGTTTTCAAGAGGTTGCTGTCGAAAATGACTCAGAGGTTGCGGATGTGTGGGGAGGGAGACAGTGTGGAAATATCGAGGGTGATGGATTTTTGGTGAGGGATTTGGGAGCGATGATGATGTGTCTGATTTATCAGAGTCGAGTTTGAGGAAGTTATTTTACATCCAGGATTTTATTTCAGTGAGGCAGTTGGTGGTGATGGATTTTGTTGAAATATAGAGTTGGACATCGTCGGCTTAGCAGTAGAAAGCCTATAAAAAACAATACATGAGGTCATACTGTGAAAGTATTCTCAAATATGTCAATCCTTGTGTTTCTATAACAACGATCCTCCATCATTCACAGTGTGCTGGTGTTTCCTCTTGCTTCTTGCCCTCTGGCTTTACTTTTTAGACTGCCAATTTAAAATCCAGACTTACCAGGACATGGAGACTGATGGGAGATCAAAAGGTGTGCCAATCATGCTGTATGCGAGTATCGGTGAGCAGAAAATGGTGGTGTGCTGCGACGAGGATAATATTTTTTCTGAAGAAATAGTGAGTATTCACAAATAATTTACAGTTATTTACAATGTGTGGTGAAGATCCACTCTCTTCCTTGACTGTGATCAGGTTTCATTTGTTGTTTCCAGGGATGAAAAAAGTACTTAGATCTGTTACTCACAGTAAGTAAAAGTAGCAATACTAAAGTGTAAAAATGCTCTGTTATAAGTAAAAGTCCAGCATTTGAAATCAAACTTAAGAAGTACATAAATATTGGCATAGGAATATTCTTAAAGTACAACAAGTTAAATTACTTTAAAAATGACCGCTGCCTTTGTTGGTAGTGTTTCAAATGGTAAGGCGACAAAAAATGAATTTCCGTCAAGAAAAACAGGAACACTGGGAGAGTAATTGATTTACAAATGATCATTTCCCTTAACATTTATCCCATACTCCTTCAGCTTTTCATTCTGTCAACTCTATTCAACTAACTGAATGCATAACTAAATCCGGTTTGCTGTGTCTCTTTCAATTGAAGGATCTTCCAAAGAAGATTGATGAAAGTACCAGCGACAAAGTGTTCCACATGGAAGAATGCGGAGTATCTCACATGTTCAAGTTTCGGTCCTCCAAGTTCCGGAATAAATACCTGGGATTTGCGCCCGATGGAAACGGCTTGAATAAACTGGTCCTAAAGACGAGCGAGGGACCGGATAATAAGTGTGAGTGGGAGCTGCGTGTCCCCAAAATGTAATCATAAGAAATCCACCCTGATTGTCTCATTAAGGGTGAATGGCTTTGGGGACTACCTGCAGTAATTGTTTTTCCTATGTGCTGTTCCATACACTTTACCTTGTTTTTAAGAATTTAATAATTTAATAACAGCTTATCTTTTAAGCATAAGGGACCCACAAGTCTTAAAGTATCAAACCACAAAGGCATATTAAAATAATCATGATAAATATTGTTTTTAATATCTAAATCAAAAATAATTTGGGAAATTCTGAAATAGTATTTGAACATGTATTTTCTTACAGTGTTATATTAAAGGTGGGGTATGTAAGTTTGAGAAACCGGCTCGAGATACACTTTTTGTTATATTACATGGAATGCTCTTAACATCCCGATAGCAATTAATATTTTAAGTGCTTTGACAAAATATCCATTAAAAAATGTCATCTGTGGAAGCCGTAGTACTGGCTAGCCGGCCCGGCTAAAATAACTGGATGGCCTACCTGCCTGTCAGCCTTCCATCTGTGCACAAACTTATCTCGTGCCCTCATTGGTCATGTGCGCGTTAAGTGTGTGTTGGAGGAGGGGCTCTATAAGGAAGTGGCAGATTTTCTCCGGTTGTGTATTTTCAAATTCTAGCGATCTCGAGCCGGTTTCTCAAACTTACCTACCCTACCTTTAAGACATGTTTCTTATTGAATAACTGCATTCTTTTATTTCAAAACATTTTAAATCTGTTTTTCTATCATAATGGCATTTACCCCAAAGACATGCATTTGGTTTGTTGCATTATATTAATAGCTTGAGTTTATTGATGTACTATTGAACAGTTTGGTTGATGCATCACAGTGTAATGTAATGGACTCAATAAATGATGTACCTTTGATACGACCAGCTTGTTTACTGCATTCGTTTCTGCCGTAGTATAAATTGAATGTATTGCAATTCATGTGTATGATTACAATATCAAATGAAGTATGTTTTTTTTAAATATAAATTACATCAGAATGTTTTATAATATGGTGCCATACCTTTTGTACTCTACTGTCATTGTATATATTGTTAGGTCATAAAATGTCAAAATATGAAAACATCTGTAAAGCAAACTTTATTGTGCTGAGGCAGGAACAGTGCATTTTTCTTGCCACATCGCATTTTGTGCGTATAATCTGAAAAGTTGAACAAAAACTGAACAGAAATGACAAATGGACAATTTGGAAGAATCAAACAGACCAAGACAAAACGTGTAAGCTCTCAGAAACATTTACTGCGTGAGCATTGAGACAACCAATTGAAGTTCAAACCGGTTTTAAAGTCAACACAACCGGCGACACCCATACAAGCAGTACAAAAGATTATTGCTGGAATAAATAACTGCATGCAAGGAGTTTGATTAGTCAGCCATATTGAATCTGATATTTTATATTCTCACATTGATGAAGGAACACTGAAATTAGGTTTTTCTTTTTCCCCCCCCAAGAGGTAATAAATAAATACAATCAATACATTTGTATGAAATATTTTGAAGTTCGACATGTTTTTATTTTGTCGTTTGCTCACTTACAGTGGAAGGGGTTTGTAATCCATAATGTACATGAAGTACGACTCAACAAATGAAGTTACAGGCGCGGTAATGCTACGTTATTTTGTTCATTGCAGAAACCATGTGTGAATTATACTTTTGTATGCTGCCAAAACATTAAAGCCATTGTGCTGGTGATACACATGTAGGATTGGCTTGATTTAAGGATGCACTTCCGTTCTTGCCTATCTTTAATGAACCTTCAATAGGGCAGCAGTTAGCTAATGAAAGCAAAGGCAGTCTGCTCTCAACAAAAACAAACAGCTGGAGATCTGCAAGAGTGTAGCAACAAAAGAAACAGTAGGTGGATCTTTCTCGTGGGGGGGGTTAGTGTGGAGGGCGCGTGGATCTGCTATGCTATCCCTGATGAGTTTGAGCAAAAGGTAGTATGTACACATTGTGAATGAAACAATACATTTAACAAATGAGCAACATACAAGACCCGAACAGAGCACTTTTGTGTAAGACTTAATTGAAGTTGTAGCAGTTTATGCATGTACCCAGTAAATATAACGATTACATGCAAGGAAACTGGTAGCTCCTATTTGTAGAGTTGGACATGTTGTTGCTTATGATGAAAATCTACAGGGGAACGCTGCTAGAAGTCCACATTGAACAAAAAAAAAGAAAATGGATGCCAGTTGTTGACGGAAAACTTAACACAGAGACCAAGCCTGAATTGATCGACGTTAATTACAGTTACACACCTGTGAATCTCTGTTATATTGTCAACATGATATATTTATAAGAATTTACATAGAACACCTTGAATTTTTTACAATCAGCCAGGACAAGATTTCTCTTCTCCCGGTGTCTCGGTCCTCCAAGCTTCCACAGTCAACTCATTTGCTCCAGAGCAGGGCGATGGCTTTGCAGAGGCCCACGTCGTTGTAGTTGAAGTAGCAGAGACCGGCGAAGGTGACCGTGGACAGGACGAAGAGGCCGGCGTTGGTCATCTTTATCTTTGCGTCCCCATGAACGTAGTCTGTTAATATCTGCCCGATACCCCTAGAGACAAACACAAGCAAACGCAGAAAGGTTTTTAGTAGGCAAAACACTTTTTATAACATTACATACGTTTGTTGATAGCTAGTTACTTTAGCCATTTGCTTTTGGAGATTGCATTTAGCTTCAATTGCATTTCGCTTTATATATAAATGTGCTGTTAATATGTGGAGATTGTCCTGGACAAAACCTCTAAGTGTCAAAATCCGATTGAAAAATGGCGCTGGCTTTTTGCCGAGGGAGCCCTAGCGATGCCAAATACTGGGACGGAATATTAAAAAATGTTTTGCTTAGGTGTTAGCCTTTGACCTAGATCATCATTCTTTAATCTCTGTTTCTCGTTTCTCATGGCTCAGGCATGTAGCCTTGTAGAGTTGCTGTTATCTCTCTCACATAGAGGCAGCTCTGTCTCTTTCTATTGACAGTTCAATCATAAGCTCACACAAGATGTATTGTCCAGGGACACCTGGAGGTCCAGCATATCAGATGTGCAAGTCCCTTAAGTTTTGCAGAAACAGTTGTATTGCCCTGCTTGTTTAGTCTTAGTATGAAGAATGTTTATTCATTATTTCTGAACTAGTTAAAATCTCTGACTAGGGGAAAGATTCTTCAGAATTGGTTTGGGAAACGTCTGCGTCACCTCGTGGCTGCAGCAAATATCTTTGTCAATTCTCCGGCTGTAACTTCAAATAAACCTTCAGCTGTTTGCAATCAAGTTCCAGCTCTCCCGTGTTCCATTGTATTATGACTCCATTGCTCCAGAGGTTTTCCATTACAAGGGCAACCATAATGCTGATGTGGCCCGCCATGAAATTGAGTTTGACTCCCCTGGTCTATACTTATGAGACTTCATCCTCCATTGCTACGGCACGTCAGAGATGCAAAGCAATACAATAGCTAATTTAAGACACTTTGTTGTTGCCGTTAGGAACAGATAAATGTGCACAGTTTAGAGTACATTAAGAGTAAATTGATATAAGCTGCAGATGTAAAATGTGTTGTCTCAACAGCGTTATCTTCAACTTCCACCAGATAATGGTCCAAGTAGCAGAGCTTGGTAATTCAATGTTTTGAGCCCAATGCACCTTGGGATTTATAATTGATGCTTTATGTACAAAGGCTTTCCCGTCAAAGATTTTATTATAATTATTTTTATAAACAACAGATTTTATATGAGAGCTTGGTTGATGAATTGGCCAGGCCTCTACCTCCTTAGATGAAATTGCCTAATGTCTAATTAAAGGCATTCAGTTCCAACATTCCTTAGTGCTGTATAATCCTGTCAGGCACAGCCTACATGTACTAGCCAAAAGAAGAGGAACCTTTCCAACCTTCCCATGCTTCATCCCGGACCTTCAACAATGCCCATCGCAGCATCAGGTTAACTGGTTTTGGACACAGAGGACTTGGCAGGACCCTTGGAGGAACGCATTGCTTGACTTATCACTACTCATGACTGGGATTTGTGGCCTGCCCCTGCCAGGCTGTTAAGTCGGCGCTCAAACTGACGGAAGAACACATCGCTGCGACGCTAAGCTAAAGCCACCCTCTCAAGTCTGCAAACAAAGCCAGGCCTAATCGAGGCTGAATTAATAGCTGCTGACAGCCGAGGCAGGATGGCTGAACCCCCCCCCCCCTCAACAAAGCCCCATGGCATAACGTTTGCATTTTGTCCTGTGAGGGTCAGTGAGCAAGCTAATTCTATGACCTGGGTAGAGACGTTTGGGAAATAAGTTTGTGGAGGGTTCAAAGAAACTTTAATTCCAACTCCCCATACGCTCTATTTGTGTTAAATCCCAATCTGCTGGTGTATGACCACAGAAGTGAGGAGGGCTGTGACCGGGATGCTGACAAGTCAAATTAATACCCCATTAGCATTCGACTACAATTCCCTGTGAACCTCGAGACGCAGGGATTTACCCGTCACCTTTTCCCAGGATAAGGGAAGTCTATGATCCACTCAGTGACTGGTCCCCCTGGAGGCTTCAGCTGTTCAATGTCAGAAACACCCTTTCAGCCCCCAAGATAACTACTTTAAAATGTATTATCAAAAACTAAACATTATAATCTTGATGAAAGTAGGATGTTTGCACCTAATAAGTTGGTAACACACTGTCAATAGAGCAATTTACAGAGATATACAAGACTGGCCAAACCCGATCTTTGGTGTGTAATTGCCAAGTCAGCAGGAAGTGAAACTATGTCATCTCAAAGTTTTGGGCTAGAAGCATGGACGTGTAAAGAGAAGTAGATCCAGCGTTAGAGGCCAGTTCCCGTTCATTCTTAAAGAATCGCTCAGAGGTGCATGAAGCCAATACGTCTCGACTCTCGAGAACAAAAATACTTGAATGTTGATGGAATCTTCCCTAGATATTCTGAAGCCCATAGAGCATGCTCTCTCTCGTCCATCTTATCCTTAACCTGTTTAGCCCTCAGCCTGTTTTTCAGGTCTCAGGCTCGAAAATGACATTCCCAGAACAAATGACCATATCTTCCCTTCTAAAAGGGTTAAATTAATAATCTTTTTTCTCAAAGTAATGATAAACCTGTGAGTTGGATGTAGAAAAGTCAGAATCAATATAGATGTTTTTTATTTTAAAGAAAATTCAGATTTTACATAGTAAAAAACTGTAAATTATAGTGTCTCCGTCCAAAAATTCTTTTTTACTTATAGTGAAAACCACCCTTGGATGATGGTAAGGTAGACTAAAAGCTTTAGGGATCCAAAGTACAACATATAATAAGTACCCTGTATCAAGATTGATGCAAAACAAGTGACATTTGACCTTTTTAGAGAGATTTAGCAAAAAGAAACCACTTCTGGGGTCATTTGGGTGGATTTTCCATATCTCTGGCCCCCCTTGCTCGATTTTGATGGTTGACACCTCTTTCTGACCGTTAGAGCCAATAGAATCGAAGGGGGAGTCCCCCACACACACACGTTGTGAAGAGAAAAGGTGGGGGCTTCGCGCATGTAATTTTCCATCAGAGTGAACTTATCTCTAGCTTTGACATCTGGAAACGGAAAAGCAGTTTTAATGCTTATGGATTATCAGAAATCATTTCAAAGGGACACAGAGATTAACCTGTGGATTAACTTCAGCAGCGTTTTTATCGTTTTAATGCCATTGAAGACCACTTTGGAGAGACTACAGAGCCAAGGTAAAAATGTTAGCATTTTTAGCTACCTAGCGTCACCTGTTTTGATGTCCGTTTTTGCTTATAACGTCGCCATTTCGTATAATTCAGTGATAATGTCGGTGTCCAACGATTCTGTGTCACCTCACGATGTGAAACGATGTCATGGATGTAGAGAAGAGATACATAATAAGGTTTTGTGAGTGATTTTCGGTGCAGTAAGGTGTTAGCATTTTTCGCTCGTTGCTAATTCAGAGGCTCAGTGCTAGCATTGTGGGTTTTCTTTTGAAAAATAAATAAAAATGATCAGTTAGATGAGTTTCTTCCCGTTACATGAATATAAAACATTCATAGTTTATTAAATGAACATGCCCTCAGACACTGTTTCCTGCAAGATGTTGCGGCAGTGCCCCGGTACCGGGGTCTCTCGGGCTTAACAGGTTAATGAGATAAGATGAAACTTTATTTATCCCCGTGGGGAAATTCAGGCGTTTATAGCAGCAACAGGGTCAGAGTGAAAAACATGATTCACACAAGGTAAAAAATAAGATAAAATAGAACAGAATTTAAATAATAATAACAAAATGAAGCCCGCCTCAGAGCCGCTGCTTCACGCCCAATCTTGGCACAGTCAAATAAACGAATGAAGAAAAATAACTCTCAATTTGGCATTAAGCACATTTTTAAGACTTTAAGGACCTTATTATTTAAATAAGGGCTCATTAGGTGCGTTCACACCGGAGTACTTTGGAGTACTTTTCCCACAATAGTTCATCAGAACTACGATATATTTGCGTTCACACCAAAAAGCCCCAGGAACTAAAGTAGCTCAACTTAGTTCTTCAGACCCGCTTTTCAGGCCCTGCTAGAGAGCAGGGACTGTCGTGGGAGAAAGTAGTTCGTACGTCTGATTGGCTGTGCGGAATGCAAACCACGCCCGTTTGACTCTGAATTTTTTGTTGTAAGCGGCCATTGTATTTCCTCGCTACAGCACACCCGAAGAGATTCCTTTTGTGAAAGCAGTTATTATAGCAACACTAAATAAATCAATTGGAGCGGTGGAGTGATGAGGATGTGTCTGCGCTTCTGGCGATTTACTCGGAGGACGCGAAGCGCCACATTCAGAAGCTTCTACTGAATGAATGCAGTTTCTGTGGCTCTGCAAAGTTAGCAGACCTGGCAAAGTCATGTCGGGACGACTACCAAGGTAAAATAAAATACATGCACTGCACTGTTTTAATCTGCACAATACTGGTCTTAGATGTACTTTTATTTGCTCAGTAGATCGAGCTAGCCATGCTAGAACTTGCTAACGTTAGGTCCAAGCTGGCTAATAACATCTAGCTAGCTAGCTATTCTCATCCATGCCCGCTATGAACACGTTTTGACTTGTGAATAAGTGTGCAATGTTCTGTAATTTGCTTCACTAACTCATGGCACTAATCGTGTGTTTCAGGCGAGGTGTTTCTCTCAGGATTAGAAATTAGTTTTCCCCTCCGGGATAAAACGATAATATAACGTTAGCAATTAGCATGCTAGCTGGACATAATGCTACCTCTAACAATACATTAGTTGCTATAATTTCAAGTAATTTGCAACATTCATTCTACATGTTAATGGTAAAAGCTTAAACAGTTGATTACCTGCATGCCACAAAGACTGATGTTCTAATATTTTTGCACATTTAAGTAGAAATGTAATTGAAATTCTATTTACTGCCTAAACATTGTTCCTTCTCATAGTATTATCCTAAATAGTTTGACCTTGTTTCCTTAGAAGGCTTCTCAGACTACATGGAGGATCCCTCAGAGAAACACAGTTTCCACGTTCAGTTCCCCCCCGCTGAGAGTAGGCAGCTCCACACCCTGCGCCCGGTCAGCGGACACCATCAGGACTACTATCTGATCACAGAGGATCCCATCCTGACCGCTGCTGCCATACTGCAGCAAACAGGAGGGAACGGAGGTGAAAACACACTTTATACATTTAGATATGTGGAGCACAAAGAAAAGTGTTGAGTTTAACTATAAAAATATTAGGTTCAACTAACCTAATACCGTTATATGAACTTTGCTGTGTTTTCAGCGTAGCTTTGTAAAAGTAACATTTAGCAGCTAAACTGTGGATAACAAGTAAACCACATTGGTTTGTTATTCAATATGGCCGCCAAAAGCTTTTTGAATCATTACATGTCACTTGTTAGACGCTTTTATCCAAAGCTTACCTACTCAATACTGTGGGCAATCCCCACAGGAGCACTTTGGGGTGAAGTGTCTCGGGGACACAACGACATGCTGACTGCAGTGGGGTTTGAACCTGTGCTCCCCTGATCCGAACACCAACGCACCAGACCACTGCACCACACGCCTCCCTATCATGTCCTGAGAGCCCTCCATCCTCCAATTGCTAGTGCCTTCACCATTTAAAATGTTAATAGTCAAATCAAAGGTGTTCCCCGTGTTCCTCCTGTTGTGTGCCTGCAGAGACAGACTCAGAGGTGGAGATCGCCCACAGTGATGACTCTGACGTGGGGGGCTCTCTGTTATGGGCTGCTCCCCTTCTGGTATTTGGACAATGTTGTGTCGTTGTTGCGATTAAACTGATCTTGTATCTTGCATATTTCACCTTAGGAAAGTGGGCACGCGATGACAGCTTCCTTGACACCATCATGGCGATGGACCGCCGTGCCATGGTCAGCAAGGAGAATGAGGACCTGCGTGCCAAGGAGATGCACGACGAACGGCTGCTGCATTCACACAAGGCCCAGGAATCGAGGTGGAGCAACAAAATACCTTTCAGGCTGGGCTTCTGGCAGTGCTAAGCGAGCTGATTAAATCCAACAGGCCTTCAATACAAAAATTAAGAAAAACTTGTCGTCGTTGATAAACTGTACAATGACTTGTTGGGAGGCGTGTGGTGCAGTGGTCTGGTGCGTTGGTGTTCGGATCAGGGGAGCACAGGTTCAAACCCCACTGCAGTCAGGATGTCGTTGTGTCCCTGGGCAAGACACTTCACCCCAAATTGCCTACACCTGGGAGTTAATTTTGTATTATTGTGATTATATATATGCCACTGTTATTAATACTGACACTTCACTTTGCACTAAGGTGTGTCTGCTGCTGAGCCTATCTATTGTTATTAATTACATATATATATATTGCCACTGTTATTATATTGTTTTGATACTGACACTTATTGATCTGCTGCTGATAAATAAAAGAGAACCTACATTGCGATTAAACAGAAAATGTATCTTGCTTATTTCTCCTGACACTTTATCTTTATGGTGACCTGTGTAGCATCCTATACATCACATGTAAGTGATTATTCTGATACCATCATGACACCATGAAACTGGCGAAGCTTTATTTATTGTGTCCCACCCGATATGTGAAAAAGATCATTCAATTGTATTTCAAAATGGCGTCCATCAACACAAACACTATTTATAGAAAGATAAATGGTTAAGTTTGTAATTAACAGTGTTGTGAGTTCAATATTTTAATTAATTATAGTAAGGGAACATAGGAGGATATATAATAAAGGTGTTAACTGCTGAGCCTATTTACTGTGCAATACTACAGACATGTTAGTGGTATTATTTCTTATCTAACTCTTTCCTATGGTCAGACAAATCAGAAGTCATTTAAACAATTTGAGATTTTGTTCTTTTTGTTTCTCAATTGATTTTCCAGAATATGCACCACCTAGGCATAGACTTTATATCACAAATAAATGAATGACATGTACTACAGTAATTGATTATATTGATATTGCCTACTCAGATATAAATGTGTATAAAATGAAATCAATTCAAAGTTTCTTGCTGCTTTTAATGCAATTCATGGCTGCAGGGCAAACGTCCAAAATCCTTATTCTACAATCATTTAATCAAGACACTTGTGTATATTTTACTTTAATTTGTAATAAACAAAAAAATATGAATGGTTGTCATCAAGCTGGGTCGCCGGTAAGGCAGTCCATTCCTCCCTGTACTCATCACCACGACGCTCACACAGGTTATGCAATACGCAACATGCTGCCACCTGGATTTTGATATTGTCCATGTTGCAGTCGTTTCGCTTCATCAAGCACCGCATATCTGGAACACATACAAAGACACAAATTAGCCCTACATAACTCCATAAATCCTACATTAGATAGTATTAATGTGATTTACTGAACGTACCATTGCTGTTCTTTGGGCGTGATAACGGTCATCATCCTCAGCTGTCCTACGACGAAACATGTCCATAGCGTGTGCTTGTCGCCGTCCAGTCCTTTTGTTAAGGCTTCTTAACCGCGATCTGTATTTGTGGCTGAGTTATTGGCTTAAATAACTCAGCACCAAAACCACAACTTCAGTCAACTCCATAGCGTGTCTGACTGAGGTCGGAAGGTAAACAGAAGCATACAGCGGAAGCGGAAGTTTTTTTTCTTCTTCTCTCGGTTTTTTGGCGGATTGCAACTTTAAGGTGCATACCGCCACCTACTGTACTCGCCGTGAAGTTGTTTGCGGCCTGCCAGGAAAACCAAAGCAGAAGAAGAAGTGACGTCAGCGGCTCATTTGCCTAATCCACCCCCAGGAACTCATTTTGGTGTGAACGCGATCTACTTTAGTTCATCAGAACTAAAAGAACTCTCATGAACTAAAGTTCTCATGAACTACTGTGGGAAAAGTACTTGGTGTGAACGCGCCTATTGAGTACTAACGTTTGGCCACTTCAAAAATGTGCTTCAACGCCTGGCTCACTTATCGGGGGCTTAGTTAGAAATGGAGAGTATGGTGTTTATTCAATATGTTACACTTTAGGACAAAACCTTTACGGTTTTAAAACTGCAATATGGGTATTAATGAAAGCAATTGCCAACTTTCATCCTCACAAATAATGCCACCAAGGTCTGGGTTAGTGTTTGCCTGTCTCACCAGTGTCCATGCAGGGTCAGGGCAGCAGCCAGGGAGTAGTCGACGACAGGACAGGGGCTGAAATAGGCTGCGGGTCCCAGGGCCAGCAGCAGGATGCTCACCACTCGCTCTCCTGTCCAGTGCAGAGAGGCGGCTTTGGAGCCAGAGCCCGCTGTAGAGGGAAACAAACAGCAGACCTCAGTATCTGTGGCCAAAAGGTAAAAACAGTAGTGTCCTCACGGCTGTAAAGGAGTGTACCAAAGAAACTTGTTACATTATATTTGTTGGTGTAGTTTATATCAAAGCACATAATCCAAAGAATGTGACACTTGACACTTTTTGATTCTTGATGCTGCAAACACATTTTGGATAGTCTTCAAAAAGTTTTGTAACAACTTGGTAACAATTGTAGTGTTCCGAATTCAAAAAAATGTAGGGATGCTCGTGCCTATATGACACACGATAGCCATTTCCTTTAACGTTTCAATAACACTTCAGTATCTAGTGTAAAGAAGTTATCAACCTAATTAAAAAAATGTATTTCCTTAAAATAAGCCTGGTGTATTAAATTAACAAAGTCTTGGTAAACACGATTAAGAATCGGGCGAAGCTGAGCGACACTTTGGTATTTGACAGATGGATTTCTCCGAACTTCTGTCTGACCTCCTAACCCGAATAGTGGGTCAGAGTGGTAAAACCTGTTAGCATGAACCAGGTGTCAGATTACTGCCACCACTCGAGTATTTAGGGTGCTATAAATGAACCACAAAACACCAGACCTACATCAGAAAGGCCGTCAGCCACCTGCTTTCAGGTCAAACCTTTTATATATATACAGTCTACAGTGTTTCCCCTATATACAAATAGCGGCGGCGCAGCGCTGAAATATGCGCGCCGCTGCTAGGGGGCGCCAGCCAGGTACCCAAAAAAAATTAAATTTGTTTTTAACTTTTTTTTTTTTTATTAAAATAATAAGTGGCGACCCTTTTTCATTTTTGATTGTTTGTTATGTGGATTTGTAGTATTTGTGTTACAGTATGTTCAATAAAGGTGTATTTTTGCTAAATCTTGAGACATTGCCACTGTATGTACTGGCAGGGCCGATTTTTGGCATAGGGTTGCCAGATCTGGGGGGCGCTGCGCTGGTAGCTCTGGGAGGGGAAAAAACATTTTGGACCGTTGGCGCTCATCCTCATTTTTGGCCTTGATGTAACAACATTCATAATTAAGTAAATGTAACACTCTTTTCACCCCGGTTACACTTTTCATTTGCCCTGTACGATGGGCGCTGTAAGTGATGAAAGTGGGGGATGTTGGCTTATCAAGCGCCCGCAGCTCACAGCCAAAGTGCGAGCGTGGGAGCGAGAGAGCGAGCGAGGGAGAGAGAGAGAGAGGGCGCACCAGTACCGGCGCTGTTGTTATTAGAATCTGGTGCTAGCTGCGCTAACGGATATAAGAAGTAGATCTTTTTCTACAACCAGGGTGGAGGAGAGCTCTCCTGTCAGACTGAGAGGCTCAGTGAGGTAAAGGACTCTCTGAGTGTTTAGATAGTTAATTTTAGTCTAAGTTATCTCAGTGGGTCTCAAACAAATATGTGTTTACAAATTATGTAAACACATATTTCCAAGGCACTCCTTTATAATTATTAGGATAAATAAAAACAGGTTTGAAATCATTCCAATGTATACTATAGGACAGTAAACCAAAAATATTGTTTAAAGTTGGAGAGATACAAAAATATGCATAAATAAATAAATGTTAACTGGGTAAAATAAGATATAAATGAACAACAAAAATAAAATAAGTTACATGTATTTGTTATTGGCTATGGTAGGTTATTGGTCATGTTCACATACTTATTGATTATTAAAATAAAAACCGATCTTTTTCAGATGGGTGTTTAGAGTTGTACCCCCTAGATCAGGTCTCTAGTAATTGTGTGCTCAGATTGAAGCATTTTACTTTAAAATGTTCAAAAAAATCTTCCCGGGGGGGGCATACCCCCGGACCCCCCTAGAGGAGGTGATGTCCACCCCCCAATTAAAACATGTTCATACAATACTGAATACATTTGAAGCCATTTTGACGTATATTACCCATGTCAATAAGTTTCTGTTTTTGTAGTGTATTTGTCTTTTGTAGAGATTTTTCATTTATTCTTTATATATAAAATCTCGCCTAAAATCTTGCCTAGGGCAAATTGGATAGAACCGGCCCTGGTACTAGGCCTCAAGAGCCTTTCTTGCGCTGGCAGACACATAGAAACAGATTGGCGGGGCGCACTTCGCACGCACTAAAAAATTCCACACGCTCACATTATGCTGGGCCCACGTGCCTTAGCACCGCTGCTATGACTCCATCCTAGGGGAAACACTGGTCTATGGTCAAACCAGAAAAACTGCACCGTGCTAGTTTAGAGAGACATAAACACATCACTATTAAGCAGTGGTCGTCAACTGGGCCGAGCGCCACATCCACCCTGAAGAATAATAATGAATTCAAAAACTGCAATGACACTGGATCACAGAAAATACTAAATTAATACATATGGTGCCCCGCTACGTGTTCCTTCACATGTGCATTTTAGTCAGTCTGTTGTACCTGCTTTGTTTAAACCAGCACAACCTACAGTTAAGGAGTGAACTGTGTAATTACATTTCGGTAATTATACATTTTAGTCATCACATTCCTCAGTGCGTTGCCTCTTTGGCAGAGCGCTTTTAATGTCAACAATGTAATCATTATTGATGTCACACTTTTTTTTAAAGAGTCTGTTCCTAAAAAAATAACTTAAGTTTAGTAATACATTAAAATATTGAACAATTAGAGCTTAGCTAGGCATAAATAAAAAATGTCTTAATCATTTGAAAGTCCAACCTATAGTGAGCATTTGTTAAATTCTGGCCCTTTGACACATGTAGATGATGACCCCTGCTCTACAGAAAAGCAACACATTCAAATAAAATGTAATAAAAAGGCAAACACAGATTAAGAGAGGTATCAAAATGATTTCCTTTGACACAAGTTAGACACCTTTACTTGCTCAGTGGTATTAATATTGGTCCATTCTCCGCATGTATCATGATGTGCTGGACTCTGACCATTTTATCAGATAACCTTTGGACAAAGCATTACTTGGTTAAATGAATTCTCATTTACAAGGTTGACAAAGTGCAGGTGATGGCGTTAGCTTGTTCACGAAACAGTGGCACTGGTTTCGATTGAACAAGTGGTCATTTCTGTTTATTTTATGTAGGGCTGGGCAAGTTAACGTGTTATTATCGCATTCATTAAAAAATATTTTCCCGCGCATTAACAGTTTTCTTTTTATTGCTATTATTATTTTGAAAGTCCGTTGCTCACTGGCTCTGAATACACATACAGACAAACCATAGGTCACAGGAGGGGTGGGATGCTGATCAGTATTGGCTTGGATGGGCGTCATCACGTGTCTCAACCAATGAGAGCATTTGGGGCGGGCCTTAGACTGCTGCAGCGCTCACATGAACCCGATCATGGTGAAAATGGAGAAAGGTACCGAACTCTTACATGGACATTTTAAATCTCTTCCAGTCGGCGGAATTGATAGGACCAGAGTTATTTGTAACCACTGAAAGTTGAATTGTATTACCACTGGACTCTGAGCGTAACTTGTTTCTCTAAAATAAACTAGATAAAACGTAAATGCCCTGGAAGTGGCAAATAACTTTGGTTTTATATTGGATTTGATTACATTAATTCATGTTGAAGTTGAGATTTACAAAAAATACTACTTTTGAATTCATTATTGAATTTTGCGAATAACAATGTGATGAATCGCAGAAAACCAGTACTAATGTTATGTTATTGGTTTGCGATATATAACGAGGTTTACCTCAGTTGTGTATTAAACTCCCTGTGTATTCTTTATGTTTCACTGCATATAATCCATCTGTCAACAACACTGACCGTTCAGAGCCTGAGACGCATGGATCCTTGCTGTCAGCTGGTGGGGCTGCTCCTGGTAGTTGTGTGGTACAACCAGCGGCCTGGCCAACAGAGTGCCTTGGTAGAACAGAGCTGAAGAGAGAAAACACCACAACATTTTTTTATTTTATCAAATGGACAAAAATATGGAAATCTAACCACAGCATAAACTGTAAACCAATAAATCATGATACACAGCTATAAAGTATTGCATTTAACGCATTTCAGCTCAGCACACAACACATATTTTAAGATAAAAACAACTATTATAACATAATTAACTGTTCTGTCCATTTACTAGAATAATAAAAAACGAACAAAAATGAGTAAGTCATGTACATCTATGTTAAATAAATTATTATATTAACCTAATTTAGTTCTGACTTTAACTTTTAAACTTTATTCACCCAGTCACTCGAGCAGCATTAAAACTGATTTAGGGTCCAAACTATATAGTTATAAAATGTTCTGAAATAATGTTTGTGAATGTGTTTCCATTAGAGATAGGTTCAAATACAATTACAATAGGTCTTCGCACACTTCGTGCTCAGGCCCTAATAAACACAGACCGTGGTAAAAACGAACTGGCTTCCACAAAAAAAATGTTCACACTTGGTAACAAGACAGTCAAAGGAGGCCGTGGCGAGCAGTCTTAACCTCAGATGAACTTTTACTTATGTAGAATAAGGAATATACTCAAAGCTTTTTTGTTTATCTTATATATGCCGAATTGAAAACAGAGTCGTGTTATCTTATCCAAGGTTTGTCGAAAAGTGTTACCTTGTATGTAAGTGGATCAATAAGCGTGTTAACTTATAGTTAGTACAACTTTAAGTAGGGTTTGGCGTGCAGGTCTGCGTAATAACGTCATGGACATCTGATGTCATCATGGTCTTCAATTCCCCCTCAGTGCACAATACTGTTTAAGACATTGTCATAGCCAATAACTGGCGCTAACCAGTGATGTGGAGAAGAATACACTTAACATTACAATAAAGGCGTGCTTGGTAATTTATGGCTTGACTTGAAAGTAACAATATTAGCCAGACATGATGTGTTCGTACATAGCTACTGTTCGACCTCCCGTCTGTCAAATCGCCCTGCTATCAGACTACTACACTATAGTAAGCATATATGTTTAAAAAAAGACAGACACAGTGAAAACAGGCAGAAGTACTCACGTTTGACTCCTCTGCGACACACAGAACTCAACCTGACAATAGCCGCCATGATGATGAACCAACCAAGGTCACCACAGTTACCCGGATGTAGTTGTTGAGTCGCCAGGACAAAGATGTTAGAGGACTGAGGTGATCATGGACACGTCCTTTTTTTCAGAAGATGGGGCCCCTCATTCAAATCAAATTTAGTCTTTAGGGTTTACATAATCCCAAAAGTCTCACATGATATAATGGTTTAAAGGGGTGTAAATACAGTCCACTCTGTGCAAAACTACAAAATTAGGTTTACGTTTAAAATCCTGTCTAGCACAAAAAACAAAACAAGTTAAAATAATGATGAAAAAGAAAGTGAAATAAATGTAATTATTCACTGACTTAAAGGTAGGGTAGATAAATTTGAGAAACCGGCTCGATATACACTTTTTGTTATATTCCATGGAATGCTCTTAACATCCCGATAGCAATGAATATCTTAAGTGCTTTGACAAAAAAATTAATCTGTGGAAGCCGTAATACTGTAAAAAGCACGACCAATCATTTTAGCCGCCCGGCTAAAATAACTGGATGGCCTACCTGCCTGTCAGCCTTCCATCTGTGCACAAATTTATCTCGTGCCCTCATTGGTCATGTGCGCGTTCGTGTGTGTTGGAGGAGGGGCTCTGTAAGGAAGTGGCAGATTTTCTCCGGTTGGGTATTTTCAAATTCTAGCGATATCGAGCCGGTTTCTCAAACTTACCTACCCTACCTTTAATTTCTACAATGTGTTTTTTAATATTGGATTCTATTTGGTTTTATAAATGCATTCATTTATAATATCAAATCAAATCAAATCAAAGTTTATTTATATAGCCCAATATCACAAAACACGTCTGTCTCAGTGGACTTTACCAAAACAAACAACAACATTTTAAACAATCAAATTACCGGAAAATAATGAAATGACAAGATCGAGTGTAAAATACAAATATAAATAAAGTGAATTAAGATACAACAGAAAAGACAAAACAAATACAATAAAACAATACAATACAATATAGTAAGTCATAATACAATTTCTCATGTAAATACATTCATTAATTCCTACCTAGAAGTGTATTCATCCATGCGCAAAGAGAGGCTCTGTATTATATTTATTTAACCTCAAAGGTCTTGTCTGACATGGACTGAGCATCACAACGCTTTTGAGTTGACACTTTTTATCTCCAACTTTGATACAATATATATCGAGTATACAGCAAGTGAGCACCCATTGGAAAAATATAAATGATTCAAATAAAAAAATGACAAATATTCTAAATTCTAAAGGTTGCTTGTGTCACGATCTGTCTGTGTTGTGTTTTGTCTTGTCTTTTTCTGTCTTTGGTTTCCTGTTTTGTTTTGAAAAGTGTTCACCCCCGTGTTGCCTGTTGCTTCCTGTCTCTGTGTTCCCTCCTGCCTGATTGCCCGATTGTGTTCACCTGGTGCCCCTGTGTTTTCTCCTCCCTCCTCACCTGTGTCTTGTTTGTGTGATTGGTCTTGTGTGTATTTTAGTTCTGGTTTTTCTGTCTGTCATTGTTGGTTCCTTGTTTGTATTTGACTGTGTGTCACAGGGTAGTGTTCTGTGTTTCTACTTTGTACCTTGGATTAAAGGAATATTCTTGGAAATCTGCATTTGGGTCCTGCCTGCTTACTCAACCCTGACAGCTTGTGAGATATGTACAGGGGCGGTTCTGGGGAGGGGGAGGTTAACAGGGGCCAGTGCCCCCCTAACCCTGACCTGTAACCCCCCTGTGGCCCCTCTCCAAGTGACAGGTTCACAATATTACTATTTATTTGCTATAGCGCTAACTCAGCATTCTAGTCGGACCCTTTAGAGCGGTACACTTTAAGTTTAGTAACTTAAAGTTACTAAAACAAATACTGTAAATAAAAAATATAGCTACTGAAACAATGTTGTTATTGAAACAAAGCACTTTAAAGTGGACCTATCATGCTATATTTGAATAATATAGTGTAGGACCATACCTATATAAGGCATAAGCGCTGGAGACGCTGTAGTGCATATGCCAGGCCAGTAGATGGTGCTGTTCTCACTGAATCTGCCCTTGCAGAGCAGAGCTTAAAAAAAAGTGCAAATTGAGCGAAATGAGGCATGGCTAAAATGCATGATCTGTTTGGTATTTTGAAAAGAAAAAAGTATAAATATGCCTTATATAGGTATGGTCCTACACTATATTATTCAAATATAGCATGATAGGTCCACTTTAAAGTTACTGAAATAAATAACTATATAGAATCAAATAGAAATGACTGTATTTTATGTTCATTTTATGCAATCACTTTATACTGTCTTTGTCTTTTTAACTCGCATTTATTGTGCCCTTCTCATAAAAATAACTGGCCCCAGCCTGGCCACCCCAGTATAATTGGTCTAATTTGTAAAGAATTGACCCGAATGAAAAATCTGTGAAGGAGTAGGTTGATTGAAAATGCTTCTGGTCACAGTTTCTTTCTTCAGAGGCGGATCCTGTTCATTATAAAACATCTTTGCATGCGTCACTTCCTGCTGATTTTGCACGCAGATTTACAAATGACTCAGAGAGCAGGCGCCACTCTGTGTAGCGCATCCCACGGTTTGTAGATCAGTGGTGTCAGACACGCAGCAGCGCTCACTTGCGGTGAAACCGAAGGTCACCTCATCTCAGAAGCTTCTTGTCAACAGGAATACAGACTCGTCCTGTAACTATTTGAAAACGCAATGGACAATTTTGAAAATTTCAGTGCGTCGGACAAAGCCGAGGCGGCGGAGCTGCAGCGTATGATCGCGATAGAGCAGCAGAAGGCGGAGTTCCAGGCCCAGGTGTGTATGCTAACCATGCTAACACGTCTCCAGTTCATCTGTGACTTGGAGGCCACATGCAGCAGGGCAACTCTCTGTTAGGAAAAGTACTTCTCTTAACACGTATTACAACTCAAGGTTTCTTTTCTTCGGGTCCCACCGCTTAGCAAGTGTCAAATATTAAAGATAATATCATTTCAAAATGACTAGAGTAATAGAGTTTTGAAATTCAGTTTGAATTTTCAAAACTCCATAGACACCAAATCAAAGAGCCAGCAAAGCCTAATTTTGCTGTTTGACTTAACTTCAGAACATGCATATAAATGTGCTAAAACAGTTATAAGTCTGGGAAAGTGGGAAAAACTGTAAAATACCTAGTATACTAGTATATATCTGAATTATCCCTGCTTAAACCATATCCCACACAGTAAGACTATTCTAAAATGATATTTTTTTGATACCTTATGTAATAGCTATTTATTTACATAGCTCAAAGAATTCACCAAAAAGGCAAACACACCAGAGTTTGTTTCATACGGGCTAGGTGTTAAGCCCCCCTTTAACAAATAATAATAATGACCCAGTCAAAAATTTGGTCTGCCATAATGAAGGATGTCTTCTTGATGCCTTAAGTGCTGTTCAAAGTAGTGATGATACACAACAAGACCATCCTTCTGAAGTCTTTTTTATCACACTAACACGCTCCTATAACAATCTACATACACGTAGCCATGCCTAAGGGAGCAATTTGGGGTTATTTGTCTTGACTGAGGTCACTTTGACATATTGACTGAAGGCTATGGGGATCGAACCACTAAACCTCCGATTGGTAGACCCACCACTGAGCCACAGCTGCCCCCCTTATAGTTCATATCAGCTGTTGAACTACTTTTTTATATTTCTTTCAGGTGCACACCTTCACTGACGTCTGCTGGGACAAGTGTGTGGACAGTCCGGGCTCCAAGCTGGACACCCGGACGGAGACGTGCCTGGTGAGCTGTGTGGAGCGATTCATCGACACCACCCTGACCATCACCAACCGCTTCACACAGATGGTGCAGAAGAGTGCTCATTAATAATGGACTTACGATGCCAGTCGGACTGTCTAATGACATCAATACAATATTTAGTGTTTCAAACATTCTTATGGAAGATAATGTGAAGAAGACATGTTTTTTTACTGCATATGCCTTCGAATGCTGCTTCTGTAAGATTACATGAAAATTCTGAATGGCTGTAGCTGCAAGATGTACCTGTTTGAAATGAGGTCATGTCGTGTGACATTAGTCAAATGTTTATGATCCTTATGTCATTAACAAAATGGTACAGATTTCAGTGTCCCAATCGAAACTGTGTTAACAGATCTTGGTTCAGTGTCAAGTTGGATTTTTCACTTCAGAGGAGCAAAAGTAATATCATTGTACAAGGATATAAAACGTATGAGATGTTTTTCTTTTTTCATAAATAGACACCCACAACAACATTGTTTTCATATACATGTTTATTAAATGATAAATAAATTGTGAAACTCATCAAGGCATTCATGATTATTCCATGTTGGAGTTACCCTGACAGAATACAACTATAAATACATGTTGCTAATTAATACAGTAAAGTATATAATGCTTTATAATACAAAGAAAAACAACATGGGCCAGTATGATATGAAATTAATCTTAAAGTACCCAACAGTATGCAGTCTAGAATCTCTTGTTGCTGCAGTACTTGTGCATTAGACGTCGGCTTTGTTAGATTTACTGTTAAGAGAATACCAAATATTGACTTAAAAGTTATGTCATATGGCTTTGTTATTGTTGCAATAAAACTTAATCTAATATAAAACACAGTATATAATTACTCACATTTAGCAACAGTAAGTTATGATATACATTAATGCATTCATTAAATAGCTAAGCATTACACAGTTTGTTTTGTACCCTTACAGTATGTTAGTGTTATACCCTCTTAAAGGGTTGACAAAGGGCCCGTGTCATGCATCTTACACAGTGGGTTAGAAATGTGTTAGCATAAAACAAAAAACTTAATTACCATTTGAGCAGATCTTTAAGTGTGTTCATTCAGTAGAAAACAACTTGTTTTAACTAGTTTAAATAGTCTTTTTATACGTGTCCATGATGGTAACATATAATCTACACAATGGGACTCTGTCATATGTTATACCTATAAGATATCTCAGAAGTCATCCGCTTTATCTTGGATATTTACACATTTTCTCAAAGCACATTTTATTTAAAGTACTTTATTCAAAAAAATGTTTTAATTTCTTCAGCCTAAAGTAAAATAAAGTAACTGAAATACAGTATACAAAGTAGCTTAAATGAAATAAAACATAAAAAAAAATCAATTAAGATTGATCATTAAGGAAGAAATGTAAGCTAAATATATGTTAGACATAAAACTAAACTGTTAGGCCATTGATATTTCTAGCTGCCCTGAGTGCAGACTTCATGGCAGTCTCTATCCAGCCATGCGGCACGGCTGTGTGTTCTCCTGCAAAGTGCGCGCGGCCCTCACTCTGGAACAGTTCTCTGGCGTAGTGTCCCTGGTAGGGTGTGAACAAGGCGAAGGCTCCCAAACTGTAAGGATCCAAGCCCCACTTCTTCACCAGCCCCCCTGTCCACAGAGGCCTGATGTCCTCTCCATGGATCTTCACCAGGTCTTCCAAGACCACAGCCATGAGATCCTCCTCGCTCATCCCTTGGAAGAGGGTGGAGTCGTCGGAGCAGGTGTAGGACGCCAGGAGGGCCCCTGCGGCGGTGCCGGGGAAGCTGTGGCTGGGGTAGTAGATGAAGCGAGAAGGCCGGTCCGTGACACTCTTCCCTCCTCTGATGCCCTCTATCTCCCAGAAGCGCTCCCTGAAGCTGAGGACCACCTTGGTGGAGCTGGTGTAATGAACCGAGCGCAGGGCCTCCGTCTTGTCCCCGGAGAGAGGCGGCTGGAAGTCAATGAAGATGGCAGCCTTGGCTGTGGTGGTAACCAGGACATAGTCCGCTGTCATGCTGATCAGGGAACCTGTGTTGCCCCGGTCCTGGTACGTTACTGTCACGTTACTGCCGCCTGTTTGATTGATCAGCTTGACCTTGGAGTTCAGCAGGACCGTGGCATTTAACACCCGTTGGAAAGCCTGCGGCAGGTGTTCAAAACCATCTGTCACTTCAAAGTACCTGGGAAATATAAATATGTTTAATCACAGTTCATCATTAAAGCTGCAATAATACATCTTTTAATTCATGAAATGCCCTCATAATGACAACTTACAGAAAGTTATCACCTGATTCTAAAGGTGTCCTCAGGTCTGTGGAAAATTATAGCTTACTCCAGCAGAGGAGAGAAGTAACTAAGTAGATTTACTCAAGTACTGTACGTAAGTAAAATGTTGAGATACTTGTGCTTTACTTGAGTATTTCCATTTTATGCTACTTTGTACTTCTGCTCCTTTACAACTCAGAGGTAAATCGAGTACTTTTACTGCAGTACATTTATTTAACACCTTTAGTTACTTCGCAGATTTTGATCAATGATTTGAAAGATATTCAACACTTAAATCAGACTTTAGTTCCACCTGGAGTAAATTCACAAGCTACCCTGCAGTATACAAAGTCATTAAAACTAGCTGCCCCTTTACCAGCTTTGATAACACTTTAATGCATCAATAATTATAATCATAACATTTAATATATATTATTCTGAAATGGACCAATCTGATGAATCTAATGAGTGCTTTTACTTTTGGTCCTCCCTTATGTTGTGTTCGGGTCTCCCTTGACCCGTGTCAAGTTAAAATTATATAATAACTACGCTCTAGTTTTTTTTACGGAACAAGGCTTCATGATATCCTCCACAACAGCTATACTGTATAAACACTACAAAACTGATTTTGACAATTTTAGCCAAGTCTGAAGGTCTCTAAACAAAAGTGTATATTTTGGTGTTCGGGTCTGGGAAGACCCAGCAGCATTGTTGTCGGTGACCCGGGGTCAAATTTGGCCCAATCAAGATTCATCTTTGTCTTTAGACACCCCACCCCCACCCCCTTCATCCACTGTAACAATAAAAAAATTTTTACCTGGTCTTCCATCCCTCTGGCCCCCTTCACCCCACGGGAACTCGACCTTTCTCAAACAATATGTACACTAACACTTGAACCTGAACACACATATGCACGTGTGCAATAATGTGGTGTAATTTGTTTTGGGGCCATAACATAAAATTACAACAGGATTGTACGGTTATGAATGCATAATAAGTTTGTTATGATTTGTTAAAACAATATTGGATGATAGTCATTATTCTTTTGCGTTTTGGACTGAAATAAATCATGGGTCAAAATTGACCCGCGAACACCATGAACGGTAACAGCTTTTGAACACAACACAAGGGTTAAGTATATTTTGATGCTGATACTTTTGTACTTTTACTTGAGCAACATTTTGAATGCAGGACTTTAACTTGTAACAGAGTATTCCTACACTCTGGTACTTCTACTTTTACAATTCAATATCTGAGTACTTCTCCCACCTCTGTATTCCAGCACATTATATTGTTTATACATTACACTTTTGCTGTTACTGTTTAGTTTGGTTCATTTATTTCCAATCAGCTTAAACTCACTATAAAGCAAAGCAGTAAAAAACAGAGGGGAGGTGCATATTGAGATGATAATTCATTGTATAGCTACAAGTTCATACCTAAAAGGGGATAGTATATAAATGGCATCCTTGAGAGACCCTTAAAAAAGCTATTCCGGCTCTTGCTGAGCTGCTCTACCAATACGAGCCAATGCTAAGTCTGAAAACTGTAAAATTATTAGTTCTTACTCAGTGTTGTCATTGATGTCGGACTGTATGTACAGCATCTCTATGAGTGATGTGTAGAAGAGGCTGTTTTCATTCAGGATGTCCCCGATCATCCTCAAGGCTCCACGACTCAGGTTGCCCTCCTTCACCAGATATTCCTGTCAGCAATGGAAAATGTCTCATGTGATTTTTCATTCAGATTTAAACTGTGGCATATGTGACAATGTCAAAATGATTCATCTTTACCTTTGTTGTGTAGGAATCATATTTGTCCAACATGGCACTGCAGCCAATGGCATTGAGGTCATGCTTAACCTATGCACGGATTTAAATAGTGAAAAAAACACATTAATGTCGTTGTGCAATTAAAAAACAAATGTGTCCAAAGGTAGTAACGATGGCTTTAAGGGTTGGGATGTGTACAAACCTTCCAGAGTGTCTCACTGAAGAGTTGAGCAGCGGACTTCCCCCTCTCACTTTCTTTCAAGCTATAGTTGAGAACACCAGGGTTGTTTGCCACAGCAGTGGTCTTCTGTAGCACTCCATTGATCAAATAGTAGGTGTTGATGTCGTCTTGGATGAAGGGGTTAAGTGAAATTTGTAATTTGGAGACAAAGGAAAGCAGGATTCTGTGGAATAGATATATTAAATATGTTGTACTTGTAAGACAATTTTAACATTATTATTTTGTGGCAAGATCAGTTGTAGATGAAGTACATAGAACAGTTATTTGTCCGCCATTTTTAAAGCTTCTACTTGGATGCGTGTATACAGTGGTGTATCATTTTGAAGTGTAAACAAGTGTTACACGTATACTCAAGTGTACTTGAGTAAGGTACTAAATTAGGTTCTTCTTGAGAACTTAACCTTTGTGTGGTGGGCTTAAATTGAACCATAAAAAAAGTAACTCAAATAAAAATGATACAAACATTTAATATAATATATATTTTTACGTAAAGTATAACTTTATCATAGTTGACACTTGCTTGGTATTTTTTTGTAGCAGAGAGTAATTGCAAATATGAATTACATACGTTATCTATACATTGTTGGGGATAGTGGGTTAGGATTAGGGTTAGGGTCTTTTGCTGATGAAACAAAGTGCCTTCAACATTATTATACCACTATCAAGTTATGGCGTGCCAGACAGTTGTAAGACACGCCCCGGTCATCACTGTACTCACTTATGAAAGCTGGGGATCCTCATGGCGCCAATTTCTGCATACCAGCCCTCTCTATTATTCCTGAAGGTCTCCACACGTCCTCCAATACGGTTACTGGCTTCTATTATGGTCACCTTTTGGTCCACATAAACAACTATTGAATACACTTCTTCTCAACCCATATTTCCAGGTATCATCACTAGGCTATCCCCTCAGAAAAAGGTAAGTTATCCGTATCATTTCCAGCAAAGGTCTTTGTTTTACCTTATGTCCGGCATCTTCTAAGATCTTTGCAGCAGTCAGTCCAGCGATGCCCCCGCCGACGATTGCTATGTGACGAGGTGTCTTAGTGGGAGGCAGACCTTTATCCACAATGTCCAGAAGCTCACTGTAGTCTGTGTCTTGTAGGCACTCATACAGAGGGTCTCCAAAGATCCCACTCACAGCGAACACCACAAGCCCGATGAGAACCAGAGGAACTGATGGAACAATAAACCGTGAATTCAAGTGAATTAAAAAAATCATGGGGCAAATTCAGAAATGGAACAATAC